TTGGGATGGGAGTGTCAGAGACAGTGCGATTGGCACAGGACAGAGCGGAGTTTAGGGCTGTTGTACATAGGGTCGATATGAGTCGCAGGCGACTCGATGGCACATAACAACAAAAAACAACAACAATAAAAATTGTACATTATTTCAGTGTAGCTGTAGTTTAAAATAACTTGGTGGCATAAAATACACTTATGAAGATGCTAACATATGAATATAAAACAATAAAAGAAAAACTAGCCCTTGTGTTCATATCAATTTATAAAGGGGTCTAATCTTTTCCATATAGCACCAGTTAAAGATTAAGATATGAAACAAAGTTACCTGAATGACCTAGTTTCATCTGTAATAAAAATCTTTTAAAAATCTACCCTGGCAGTTTTAATACCAACAAAGAAACATTGCATCATAATAAAACAAAAATGATACAAGGAATTTGGGTTTTTTTCCTATCCCAATATTCTTGGGAAATGCTTCTTTCTACCAGATAGTAACAACTGGCTTCTAGTTGTCTGGGGGATAAGCCTCAGCTAGACAGCTCAAATTCATAAAACCGAGTGTAATTGTATAATGAAACCACTGCCTATAAACCACACACATGCGAAAAGCATGTATCAACATTATCTTACCTTTAGGCTTTTATTCTATCCCTTGAATAAATAATTTCCTGAGAAAATTAACAACAGTCTAGAAAAACAACGTCATATATTTTCACAGGGAAGTTAGGTTAATAGTTAGATAGACAGATAGAGCCTTAAAAAAAAACCCTTCATGTATTGGTGAATTCATTCAGATACTTAATTTTCTTTCTTTTTATAATAACCAAAAAGTTGTCTTGCTTAATGCATTACACAGTACTCACTATATGTACAAACTATAAAACTTACCCATAGAAACTTGATTAAGACAAAATTGGCAATTTGTCTTTGAACTAAAAGGTCTTAATGAAAGTCATTTTTACAAGATTTTAATGTCTTAAGAAAAATGGTTAATTTATATTCAAGGACTAACTGGATGAATTTCACAAGTCAAGACAAAGGCTCAAGAAGTTTTTAAAAATTAAATTCTAACCATTTATAAGAAAATAGCTAGTAGTCAATACACAGAATGCTATAATTTATAAGAGTTTTGACAAATCAATTAGAAAACAATAAAACAATTTAAAAAAAAAACAAACTAGCCCTTGTGTTCATACGGATTTATAAAGGGGTCTAAGGTTAGGTCTTTATTGTTAAGCAATTATCTAGAAATTATTAAGTGAAGAAGGTATTTCAGAAAAGGAGCTCTGCATCTAAAACAAATATATAAAAAAATACTACAAATGACCTTATATTTAAGGTATGCTGTGTATAGTTTAATATAAATAAAGATGTGTGGACCTGATAAATACACAGAATTCAACAAAACTTACATTATCATAAAATACAACTTCTTGGAGTAAGGAATTTTCCCTAGTTCAATAACCTAATGATAACTATATCTTATTTGGTAAGGTAAAAAATCATATAATTTACATAAATAAATGAATCTTGAGTTTTATTATTAGCAAGTTACTTCCAACAGAATAAGAACTTTTTTACTACTAAAATGCACATGAGACCTATACTCAATAAATGAGTTATTAAAGTCTTTTAAACATGCTAAGCAAAAATCACTGTGTTGGTGTACTCGCAATGCATAAACTTCATACTGTGGCTGCAATATCTAACACAAACTCCCTTGTGTGATATATCTCATGAGCTATACTTTTTTAAGGAAAACAATGATGATAAATTAGCATAATGTGAACAAGCAGAAATTCAACTATTACTGTACTATTTACTTCACTATAAAGGGAATTGAGAATCCTAAAAGCAATTCATTATTTTGGCACACTCCATCTACTAATGTGCTCAGAAAAAAGATAATCTATCTCTCTATTCTCTTATGTTTCTCTAATATTCTACTACCAAAACATCTGGATATACAATCCTAGAAAATATTCTAGGAATTCAAGTAAGCAATTAATATGACAAATTCTTCTAGGTTTCCTTCTTTGATGAAAACGTTCCAAGATTCCAAATGTTTTTCTACAGACCAGTCCAAAATTTTTAAAAATCTTGTACTTCCTCCTAAATGCAAAATCTTCCAGTATAAGAATCCAGACAAAACTTAAGATTGGAAAAAATATTGTTTTTATTAAGTTTAGATTATTCACATAAATAGTCACTGAAAAAATGTTTAGATGGAAGAAAGTTACCACTTTTCCATCTATTAATTCAACTGTATCAAACTCTGCAGTTCCTATAGTTATTAAGAAGCTGTTTTAATATTTTTTAAAGTATTAAAATTAAAGTGAGAACTTTTTTCCTCAGATATCAAGTTTCTTGATCATTCAAGAATTTAGAACTTAAAAAACTAAGCCCTCAATTATACTGGCTACTGAGACAAAGAGTAGGTAATTGAGATGATATGTTACTTAATAGTTCAATTTAATCTTAGCACAAATGCCACTGACATTCAAAGCAAATTCAGCCTTTATCTGTTCATCAGAAATGCTTCCAGTCATTTACTAAGAGAATCCAGCTTGGAACTGATTAACTGTTTATCATAGTGTTGAGATCGGAGTCTCGAAGGAACGTTTCAGTCTTCTGGAAAGGCAAAGAAGAAATATGGTGCTCAAAGGCATTTTTGATGAGTCCAAAGAGAAGTATGAGAAGCTGACTACTCTAGAGACTATCTTAACCAAATGGACTTGATCCTTCAGTTCCTAATACTATGGAGTGATCAGATTCTGACTCAAGTTTTTTCTTTCCCTATTAACATTACCTTATTGGGGTTGAGTTTGAGCCACTTAGACTTCATTCCGGAGATTTCAGACAGAAAATGAGACATCTGGGGCATTGCTCCTCCTAGATTAGATGAGAAGGAAAGGTAGAGCTGGGTGTTGTTTGCTAACTGTCCATCTCGACTTTAGCAGAAGGTAGAAAGCATGGGATTCACTATCAATTTTTTATTTTTTATTTTGCTGGTTGTTTTATTTGGTTTTTTGGTCCCAACCACTATAGGCTTTCAACTATTCACTTTAGCTTTCAAAAGTAAGGCTATTCATGAGATGGACTTCATTTTTTTCCTCTAGGCATCTTCAGCATGAAAAGTCTTTAATTTTCAGTTCCAAGAGGCTGCTTTGGCAAGGCAGACAGTTGCGTGTGATAGCATGCAGCTCAGAGCATGACTCAAGCAATAGGAAATCTTTGACACTGTGTTTGGAGTTGAGGCTGTGGACTTGGAGAAGATGAATTCAGTGTTGGAAGTATACAAGCCTTGGTCATGACTACCTGTATTTCAACCCATTTTGATATTTGTTAGTAAGCCAAAAGCCAAGCCCAATTCAACACACATATTTAAGGTTAATTCTTCAAAACAGTAATTCTTAAAACTCTCAAATTCTCACACTAAACTTCTGATGTCAGCAAGTTCTTCCTGGTTAAAATAATTTTTGTTCCATGCATTTATAAAAAATGAAATATATGTAGTAAATTATAATCTGAGAAACTGAAGAGATTTCTACTAATGAGTGGGTAAACAAAGAATATACACTGGAGTAAGCACAAAATATCATGCCCTATGCCATAATTTTAACAATCTCTGTAATTCAGAATTGCTTAATAAATAGTACTATAGGTATAACAAAACACTCCTAAAGTGATATAAATTGCATAATATAGTTGGCAATTACTTATCAGATTTCAACTTTACATGTCACTGCCACAAGAATTAATAAAACAATTACAAGATTAATTCTAATATCTATAAACTCCAATAAATTCTGTTTCTCTACAATAAGTGGGATTTTACATCAAAGATATGTACCTCAAGCATCACTAATATTACTTCCATAGGTCTCTATAAACTATTAGCTTCAAAAGAGCTAAAGTTTTATGTAAGCATAACTTTCTATTTGCAAAGTTTTCTGCTTCCTGGTAACTTCTTCTAGCTCATGTAATAGAGAGATACAAACCTATCTTATCAATGTATATCACAAATCTTATAATGATGGGCATATATCAATGGTGATTAATTTATAAAACACAGTGCATAGAAATGACTGTCTGAAACACAAGAAAGTGTGAAATGCAATATATATGAATTTTGTATGCAAACCAATATAAAATTTTAAAAAATAATAAAAAGAATGCTACCCTTAAAAGCAATGTTGCATAATCCTCATTCTGCTTTATTGAGATAACATGAAAAAAAGATTTAAGGAACACATTCCTAGTCAAATATCCAAGAGGTCAAACCATTATTAGATCTTGCTTAACACAATGAAACTTCCATTTTAAAAGTGAAACATATGATAACAATCACAAAGAAGACTACAGTATCAGAGCAATAGCTGATATAAGCATGCAGCAAAATCAGGTCATCTAATCCATTCTACATAAACAAAAATGCTATGCTTCATTGTTAAATGGCACACATTAATAAGGGACAAAACACTCCAATTAATATATTCATACCTTCACTGACTTGGCTTTCTGATGGATGCACATTTCCTGATGGCAATGGACCACTTGAAATAGAGCTTTCTATTGTCTGCCTCTTCTCAAAACTAAACTCTGGAAGTCTTGGAGCCTGGGGTCGAGTTTTTCTTGCAGGATTCAAGAAAAAACAGTAGGCACATCGAAAGGCTGCAAGAAGTTTTTAAAATAAACAAAACCACAAATCAAAATGACTAGGTATTATTTTCATGACAAAATTTCAGAAAAAGAAATGCATAGTAAAGTGGACTATGGACTTGGGGAAGATTGTATAACAATGAAAGAATTTTTTTTTCTTTTCAAAGAGAAAAGCGAACTGAGGGGGGGGATGGGCAGAGAAGAAAATGTGCAACAATGAATGAATGGGGGAAAAATTAAATGGGAAGAATATGCTGTAAAAAATATATGTTGCTTAAAAAAATAAATTAAAAAAAATAGAGCTTAAGAACTAATTAGATAACATGCAAGATTATTGTGTCAATTGCCAAAGAACCCTTCAAAAGTTATTAAATTCTTGTGAAAGTCAGAGGTGTTCTAATATTATTACAAAACTTGGTCTACCTAAAGCTAATTTTAAAGTATATTTTCTCTTTTTAGAATACCAAGTTTAAAGCAGAAAAGGCTTTAAACAGTTACAATGCAGACTAATTAAAAGCAAAGCACTATTAATAATGTTCCAGTCAACAATATTATATCAGATATATTAAATACCTAGATCCTTGCTTATATCAAAGTAAAAAATAAGATATTAAATCTCAGACACAGAATAACTTTAATACAATAGTTTTTAATAGTAGCTGCACATGAGAATTATCTCTGGAACTGAAAAAAAATTTATATTACTTGGACAATGCCCCAAATTAATGAAATCACACTATATGTAAGTCATTAGTATAATTTATAAAACATCTTGAGGTAATTCTAAGAGATAATGAGCCTTAAGAACAACTGGACTAGAGACTATACTGTAAGAGAAAAAGTTTTGTTGTCTCCCCACTGGTTACTGTAATAAATTGGCAATACAAGGGAAAGTGGCATAGGATAATTTATTTAAGAATAAAATATTTTAAATCAAACTGCCTAGTAATTCTTACCAATGTATTCAAATTCTTCCTTCAAAGCCATTCCATTATGAGAAAAACACTGCTGACATATAAGGGCATACCTACACAAAAAGGAAAAATGAAATAGTCAAGTTACAAGTACAGAGAGAAGCTGTTTTAGGCATCATGTCTAATATATTAACATAGTCAAACATGATTTATCAAATTAGATGTACATGGTAAACCATAAACAATACTCTTAAGACCTAGTTTTGAAAAGCAAATAATATTAAAATTCAACTTATGTATCAGATTAAAAATAAACTATTAACAGGTAAATGAATATACAGTCAATTTTTATTTATTTATTAAGCCAGTCAATTTGATAACAGATTTAAATTTCAGTGTTTGTCAAAGTATATTTCTTGGGATGGTAGCCCCCAGGCTAATAAAAAGTCCTTAAAAGAGATAATTAAAGCCTCTCAGATGTCTTGAAGTAAAGAAATAGAATTTTGGTTGTGGTTGTTGTTGTTATTAGGTCAAGTATGACTCATAGCGAGCCTATGAACAACAGATCTGAAACCTGTCTTATCCTAGGCCATCTTCACACTATCTGATATCTCAAGTCCACTGCCACAGTCGGTGTCAATACATCTCATTGAGGGTTGTTGTCTCTTTCTGACTCTCCATCTTTCCAAGCATGATAACCCTACAGAAAAGCCTCTCCTAACAACATGCCCAAAGTATGTGAGATGAAGTTTTATCACCTATGCCTCCAATGAACATTCTGGCTGCACCTTCTCCAAGACATTTCATTTCTGTGTTTTCTTTAGGAATCCAGGGTGTGTTCAGCACACTTCTCTAACAGCATAGTTCAAAAGCATCGTTTCTTCAGCCATTCAATTTTTTTTTTCAGCCATTGAATTCTTTGTCCAGCTCTCAGTAGCACCGCAAGTGTTCAAAAAAACTATGACCTGAATCTGGTGAACCTTAGTCCTCAAACTGACATCAATGCCCCTCAATAATTCGGAGAGGTCCCTGACTACAGACTTTCCAGTGCAATTTCAGATTTCCTGACTGGTGATATCAAGGGTGTTGACTGTGAATACAAGTAAGATGAAGTCATTGACAGTTTCAATCATTTCTCCATCTATTCTGCTGTTGTCTATTGGTTTAACAGAATTTTTATTTTCTTGATGTTGACATGCAATCCATATTGAAGGTTAATCTTTTATCCTCTGCAGCAAGCATTTCAAGTCTTCCTCACTTTACCAAGCAAGGTATGTCATTTACATAATATAGGTTACTGATGAGTCTCCTCTGATTTTGATGCCACATTCTTGTTCATAGAGTCCAGAATATGGAATAATCTAACTTGCATACAGACTGAACAGGTAAGGAGAAAGGATACAATCATTACAATCATGATGCACACCTTTCTTAATTTTAAACCATGTAGACTTCTCTTGCTCTGTTCAAACAACAGATTCTTTGTGTAGGTATAGGTCTTGAATGAGCACAATTAGGTGTTCTGGGATTCCCATTCTTCTCAATGTAAGCCATAATTTTTTCATGATTCATACAGTCAAATGCCTTTGCAGAGTCAATAAAGCATAAACAGACATTCTTCTGGTACTCTTTGATTTCAGCAAGAATCCCTTTGACATCAGCAATGATGTCCATGGTCCTATGGACCCTTCTAAATCCAGCTTGAATTTCTGGCAGTTCTCTTGTCTATGTATTTTTCTAGCCATTTTTTAGTGATCTTCATCAGTATTTTGCTTGCATGTGATATTAATGATATTGTTCTACAGTTTCCACATTCTACTGAATCATCTTTCTTGGAATGGGAATAAATATGGCTCTTTACATGCCTCTGGAAACTCTATGAACTTAGAGAAATGACAATAGTTATAGAAAAAGTTCAGATCTTTTTGTTCATAGGGTCACTGTGAGTCCTGCTTGACTCGACAGCAATCAACAACAGCAACAACTAGTGCTTACCAAGTTGTATCAAGAAATCTGGAGGACAGTTACCTGGCCAACTGGATGGCAAAGATCCATATTTATTCCCATTCCAAAAAAGGGTGATCTGAAAGACTGTGGAAATTATCAAACAATATTACTAATATCACACGCAAGCAAAATCCTGAAGATTATCCCAAAATGACTAGAACAGTACAACCAATAGAGAACTACCAGAAGTACAGGCTGGGTTTAGAAAAGGCCATAGCACTGACGACCTCATTGCCAATGTCAGAGGGATCTTGGCTGAAAGCAGCAAGTAGCAGTGGAGTGTTTATCTGTGTTTCATTAACTATGCAAAGGCATTTGATTGTGTGGATCACAATAAATTGTGTCTAACCTTGAGAAGAATGGGAATCCCAGAACACCTGAGTGTGCTCATGCGAAATCTATATTTGGACAGTAATCAGAACAGAGCAATAAAACACTGTATGGTCCAAAATCAGGAAATGTGTGTGTTGATGAGCCTCCACATCTTTTCAATCTATATGTGGAACAGATCATTCAAGTGGCTAGTCTTTATGAGGAGAAATGTGGCATCAGAATTTAAGGAAGACTCATCAACAACTTCCATTATGAGGATGACACAAACTTGCTCACTGAAACTGAGGAGGACCTAAAGGACCTGCAGAAGGTCAAGGACTGCAGTCTTTAATAAGGATTGAAGCTCAAGAGAAAGAAAACAAAGATTTTCACTGCTGAGCCAATTAGCAGCACCATGAGAGACGGAGAAGAGACTGGGATGGTTAACAATTTCAGCTTGCTTGGGTCCACAATCAACACTCTTGGGACCAACAGCCAGGAAATGAAAAAATGAATTGGATTAGGAAAGTTTGCTATCAGAGACCTCTCCAGAACACTGAAATGCAAAGATGTCTGTCTATAGACAAAGGTGTGCTTGATCCAGGTCATGGTCTTCGCAATTACTTGCTATGCATCAAAGACTGGACAATCACTGGTGAGAGTCAGTGTCCAGAGCCATCAGGGGCTTTAAGCTCATTGCCCACTGCTGTGGTGTGCACAGCTGAAACCCAGGCCCCGACAGGCACCTGGGGGGG